TCTTTTTCCATATACAATAAAATAATGGCCCGATTTAAGAATTTCCATATTGATAGCATCAGCTGGATGAAGAGCATATAGAACTGTTCAGGTTATAACCTTGGACGTAAAAATGCATATTGTTTCTAACTTGTGTATAGTTAATAGTTTGAATGGAAGTTGGAGGAATTATGTCCAATTTTCAAAACAAACAACCTGTATTATAAGTTTACAAAGTTTCAATCCGAGAAGAGGAGTTATCTGCAAATATCAGAACAAACAATGATTGATCACAAGATCCCCGATTCACTTGGCTTCTAACCATTATAGGTAGGCCCCGTGAGTCTCCCTTATTTCAAAGAGTAGACAAACTGGGAGTAGTCCCCTATACAGGTACATTATTAAGTGTAGGGGTGCTCCATTATATGTTTATGTTCATGAGTAGTCAAACTGGGAGTGGTCATACTGGGAGTGGTCATACTGGGAGTGGTCATACTGGGAGTGGTCATACTGGGAGTGGTCATACTGGGAGTGGTCATACTGGGAGTGGTCATACTGGGAGTGGTCATACTGGGAGTAGTCATACTGGGAGTGGTCATACTGGGAGTGGTCATACTGGGAGTGGTCATACTGGGAGTGGTCATACTGGGAGTGGTCATACTGGGAGTGGTCATACTGGGAGTGGTCATACTGGGAGAGTCATACTGTCATACTGGGAGTGGTCATACTGGGAGTGGTCATACTGGGAGTAGTCATACTGGGAGTGGTCATACTGGGAGTAGTCATACTGGGAGTAGTCATACTGGGAAGACACCTATAGTTGCTGCATTTAAATAGGAAATGTAAAGCATCTTCAAAATATAACATATGTAATCTTCAAAATAGTACCCACATTTGCAATCTGATCTTTCTGATACATGTCAATAAAATATATGGAGTTTAGTTTAATACATCTGAGCCTGAGGCAACAATGAATAATTTAACAGAATCTAAAACCGAAGTTTACGTCTATAATTTATTTGTAGTATAAAGAGCAAGGGTTAGTATAGTTATCGGAAAGGGCGTTCCACGGTTCAGTTATACCAGGAAGAAATGTGTGAGAATAATTTTGAATCCTAGTAACTATGTATCGTTTGTAAATTTATCTATCCCTGTACTATCCCTTAGATTACAGTTATCTGTGAATTGAGCCGAAAAAAAATCACCAAAAAATTATCAAGTGCAATAACAGTATTGATTTATTAAGAGGTTTTCAAATTGGAACAGTATCTTCCTTCTTTTAGAGATTTGAAACTTATTACATTCTGAAGTTTGTTAAGACCTATGCCATGAACGAACATAAGTTTTCTGATAACATAAATTGTTCGTTTGTACAAGAGTCACAAATAATAATGAACTTGACCATTTTGTGCCAGTTGACTATGGGAACAGTTTTTTCTTAAGCTTTAATGGGCCCCGTGAAGATCTGAACTAGAACTGGTCTTCAGCAACCGATACTTGTTGGAAAGGATTAAATGGATTTTGTTTGCTGAATTGACTGATACATGTCATTGTATCCCAAATGCAGAGATAGTGAGTGAGTGACTTTAGTGTTACGCCGCACTCAGCAATATTCCAGCTATATGGCGGCGGATCTGTAAATAATCGAGTCTGGACCAGACAATCCAGTGATCAACAGCATGGGCATCGATCTGCACAATTGGGAACCGATGACATGTGCCAACCAAGTCAGCGAGCCTGACCACACGATCCTGTTAGTCGCCTCTTACGACAAGCTTAGTCGCCTATTGTGGCAAGCATGGGTAAACGCAGAGATAGATGCTCAGGATAACAATCACTTCATTGTCTGGTTCAGGCTTCAATATTCACAAGGGTGAATGAGTGAGTTGGGTTTATGCCGCTTTTAGCAATATTCCAGTAATATCACAGCGGGGGACACCAGAAATGGGCTTCACACATCATGCCCATGTGGGGAATATTCACCATATTCTTCTTGTAGCTTGGGTATTGCTGAATGTGGGATTAAGCAACAAACTTCCACTAGTGGTCATGTATTGCTCAGTAAGTGGTCTTGACGTTTGAGCAGTGTTACAGGTTAGACCAAAACAAAACATAATGGTCAATTTCAGTATTTCTTGAGGAAAGACCTGACAACTAATTACCTAATTAGTCTACCTGATGCAACTTATTGGCATAGCTAGCACATTAGACACCATGCTATCCGTAAATGATATGCTGATTCAAAACAAAATGAAAAGACAGAATTCTCACCATCCGTAATGACAGAATCTTGATCCAATAATACAAAGAAAATGACTGTATAACATCAACCAAGCCTGTGATGAGGCTCTCTGGTTCCCTAATCAGCCTCTGTCACCACCAAGCTGAACAATGGTCCTAGTTAGTCATTAGCTGTCACAACAGCCAGGCCGCCTAATTAGTGTGTGGCCAGTGAATGAATGTATGTATTTGTGGGACAAAGAAAGACAGTGTCGGATTACGGAGGGTGTATTGCCCCCTCCCTCCCCCACACTGCTGCAGCATCTCGGCCATTGCTCTCAGTGTACTTGAGGCTGAGGTATTGTTAGTTTCAGTTCAGTTAAATTCTCCAAACAGTGATTTCCCTGGATCATAGTGCAGTCTCCGCTTTGCAGGTAAAGTGTTGGAAAGATGTTGTGACTGCTTGTGGGAGATTGTCTGACCTGTAAATGTGGCTGTTACTCTGATTACAGGGAAATATTAAACATGCGAGATAGTCTGTATAATGTACGTCCTTGATGCCTAAGTTTTGAAATAGTCATTTTTGGAAACACCTGTTCGATATTGTCCTGGATATTCAAGATCATCACTAGTGATGTGTATTCCCAGTCAATTTGAGAACCAATCACCAACATAGCTGATTTTGAAAGTGATGGCAAGTCCTCATTTTTCATTGCATTTTCATAGCATGTATTTTCCTTGCTTTCTTTAGCGTTGTTCCATGTGAAATGGGCTGCAAGGAAAGCTATAGATCATAGAAAATAGGTTCAGTTTTTGTGTGTTACAACTGAACGTGATACAATGTGTTGAATCTTTCCTGAGGAAGGAAATGCTCTTACATCGCCCCACCCTTTACTGTGGTCAGCGGGATGTAACAATCAACAATCTATCTGGAGATTCCTGGACCAAACAGTTCTCAAATCTGCCTTCCTTGCTATAATGTGTGGCCATGGAGTCTTGGTGAGTTGCCTACACTATCCAAATGTCATGGATCAGTGCCTGGGATTCTCTGTCAGAAATATTTATTTACAGACCGTGGTATGGATGGAATATCAGTGACTGAGCCTTAACAACAAACCACCATTAAATTACCATTGCTAGTCTGTCTCACAGTCCCTGAACCACATTATTTTCCCTACTGCCAAACCCTCCCTGCAGTGCTAAAACCCTAAATAAAGCAAGTCTAGATTTCCTCAGGTTCAGGGTCTGCCTGGGGCTCCTTTTCAATTTAAATGGGCTTGTTTGTTACTATCAAAATTATATATATCCAGAGACTAAGCATTAGTCTATACAATTGCCAGTGTGTTCATCTGTGCACTAAGTCTGTTTAACTTAATGTGGAATATATCTTTACACTCTCCTACCAATTCAGTGTTTCAACCCGTCTAATTAATGGATAGTGTAAGATGAAAGGTAATCAGATGAAATCCCAACAGTTTACTGAATGATTTTCTGTTTTTATTAATTCTCTCATACTGAATTTCAGTTTTTGATTCAAAGTGCATTCCTGTAATTGCCTACATTGAGCTTTTCTCTCTGTGTAGATGGCAATACATTCGTGTCACAAGGAATTAAATTCTTCTTTGAGTAGCAGTTTAGAAGTTGGGAGATACAATATTGAACAAACTTTATGGATAACAACTTCAGTTATTACATAATAGAAGAAGTTGTTATCCATAAAGTTTGTTCAACATTGGAGTTCATTGGTAGTGTTGTGATGAAATGTGTGCCTAATAGTATTAAATACCACAAAAAAGGTGACATGCTTTCAACACATGTTCCTTGATGTAAAACTGTCAGTTTGATTCTATGCCAATTCATTCTATAATTGAGTTATGACATTAGTAACATTTCAAAGAGTCATGCTTATTGACATTTACTGTTATCTCTCATCAGAAGCCAAGTCATTTACAGGGCACTGATGCAACGTGTTATTGAATACAAGCTTACATTTTGGATGTTTTTCTATGGACAATTACATAGGACAACACAGAACAATAACTAATAATTGTCTTTATGGTGTAAGAGTGTAGTCATCAATAACAGAGGACCGTTGCCTTTCATTTCCGTTCTATAAGTGTTAGAGTTTTGCTGATTGTAATTAATTGGTTCAAACTAATTGGTTGTAAGAAATGATTGATGATGGCATTGTGATGGATTCCTAAACCTCCTGGTTGTGTAATATGCCTGACAAGATTGATTGTTTTGACTGCCAGTGGAGGAAATAAGCACATCACTGTTAGGTCAGCTTGCTGCAGCAAGCTTGACACTTGCATGGTATTATTTATTCATCATATATACCATGTGTATGTTCATGTACGTATGCAGGATCTTGCACTTCGACTTCTGTGTGTCACATGAAGAAGACAAGGGCATAGTTTGCAATTCCTCCATGGATTCAATGTGTGAAGCCTATTTCTGTGTTCCCTGACATGATCTTGCAGGAATATTGCTAAAGGTTGGTAATAGTGTACTCACTCTCACAATCGGTTTTCCAAACTGTACCTGAGCATAGTTATAACTAATAGTCCAATCATTTGGACCCAGTCCTGCGAAGTGATCTGAGCCCAATGATTATATGTCTGTCAGAACCATAATTACAGCAGCAAAAATAATTAATGGTTTCCTGATGATCTTAATTGGTGTTAGGATGATGAAGCTGTGTTTTGGTCACGATATAGTAGGGCTGTAATGATGCATCGAACTGTCGATGGATTGCAATTGTCAAGTCTCCGATAATGATTAACCGATGGTAGAAACGAAAAAAACTATCAATGCATCGATAGTATGTGTGGCTATCGATAGTTTGTAGTAATTGACTTCCGCTGATAAATGTGCAGTGCAAAATACAGGAATTACCAGATTCGTTCACTTTGATTTGGAGTTATCCGCCAGTGTTACCTCTTAAACAAACATGATGGCAAGCACGGCTTGCGACTCGGAGTTTGGAATTGTGAATAGCAATAAGTTTATGTTTTAAATGTTTACTTGATCTGGGTTTCAAATTTGTCAGTTATTAAATTGGAGTGACTCTACTTCAACTTGTTTTTATTTCATATAAACTATACATTCATTTGGGAAATGACTTCAAATGAGACAATTCAAGGAGAAAAAACTATTGCAATAGTTGATCGCAATAGTATTGCAATAGTTGATCGCAATAGACTATCACTTTAGCAATAGCATGTTGCAATAGACTATCGCTATCGCGAAAGTTGTTTTCCCCTCCATAGTCACCCCTACGATATAGCCATGTTAGGAGAGTGAACTGACCGCTGAGTCATGTAGCTCTGAATGTTCATAAACCTGATTTTCAGTTATGATAGAGCTAATGTTGGGACAGTTATTTAGCCATTATATAACAACAACAATGTAACTGTGATTTACTGAATCCTGTTAACTCAATGCATCATACTGAACAGACTTTCTACTTGTTCATTGATGTTTTTTCTGAACAGACACAATCTCCTTATGCTGCCTTGAAAAGAAATTCACTGAGGTGTGTCGGCCATTGTGGAGTCGTCTCAGCAGGTTGTAATTATTATGCTTGTTTCTGTTTGTAAGCAGTTGTTCAGTGAGACTCGTGATACAAATACATATCCAGGCAAAGACACAGAACTGAAGGCATCCCAAGGTCTGAGTCATATGTTTGACAGACCGATCCATCCAGCATCACCCACGCAGCAGATGATCACTTCACATCATCTTCATCCTTGTAATGACAGGAAGAGATCATGCAATTATATGAGATGAATGTAAAAGTAGACTTTCAACATGTCATCTAAGCTTCAGCTAGAATATTACCTTTCTGGCAGTTTCAGTGGAAGTAGATCATCACCTTTTTCTAATGAGACAGTTTCCATAGAAACACACAAATTTATTTATGCAAGGAGCTGCATTACTACTCATTTGATTGCTGATCATGCTGCTGGCGGGAAGTGGAGGTGTTGCTTCACAGCTGGATGTACAAGATCGTGTACATGATGGTGTCGCATCACAAGTCTCTGTATCAGACCGCACAGCCTCAGCTGCTTGCAGGCGGTCATTGGGAACAGCAATAATTGGATCAAAAAGGATATGGTGCAGTGTCGTCTTTTTATCATTCATTTCTTTTCAATATCCAAGCAAGGTTTATAGAGTAAATGTCTCTGCAGGGTTATTATAGGTGATTTTAGTTGAGTCAATTGGTTTTTCCAGCAGAGCATTTTGTGTCCTCTTGTGAAGAAGCAAGTTCCAAACGTTGACGGTGTTGTGTCTTACATTAAAGGGGTAGATACCACTGTGTTAAAAGCGTCATGTTAAATTTCATTGCAGATTTTTCTACATAAGCAACAGGACCTCAGTCTGTTATTTATCATTTTGTAGAAATTATCATTTAAACTATTAATTTATACCTCAGAGACTTGTGCAAGTCTAAGTGGAGCATTAAGCAACCCTTTAGTCTCTTTTTATCAGTACCCATGAAGGTCTGGGTTAGAATATTGATCTTCAGTAACCCATGCTTGTCGTAAGAGGCGACTAGCAGGATCGGGTGGTCAGGCTCGCTGACTTGGTTGGCACATGTCATCGGTTCCCAACTGCACAGGTCAATGCTCATGCTGTTGATCACTGGATTGTCTCATTCAGACTCGATTATTTACAGACTGCTGCCATGTAGCTGGAATTAAATGAGTGTGGCGTAAAACTAAACTCACTCACTCTTTTATCAGAGTTCTGAAAATAGGCTGCTTGAGTGGTTGATGAGAGAATTTATTAAATATATGCTTAGAGGTTAGAAAGACCATGCTGAATGAATTAGGTGTTTCACTGTTATTACTCTTCTGTGGTGTTTTTGGTGTTTAAGACACTTTCAAGGGATTTTAAACTCCAATCTAAGGATTTTAAATCCTATAAAACATGAAATGTTTTATTATACTTATGAGCCTTTTAAATATCTGAAGCAGCATCGCTTCAAACATACTTTGTCTAAAACTTGGAAACAAGTGTAAAATATCTCTTGCTGGCCTACTTGAACTTGAAAGAAAAATTATTAAAAGCATCAGTTTGTTAGCATCTTCGTATCCTTTTAAAGTTTACAATTTCGCAAGTTTTCATGTGACCCAGTGAAGTTTAGAGAAGACATTTGTAGTTTCATTTTTTATCATGCAGCTCAAGTTTTTAAATAGATTGTGTTCAAATAGAAAACAGATCAATATGAAGGGATATTATTCACATGGTACAGTGTCACAGGAACGTGTAGAGATAATATCCCAAGGATATTATGGAATCAGGTACATGATATTTAATGTGATTGAGAACAGTGATGTCACTGAAGGTTTGTAGAGCCTTGAGATGTTGGCTGTGATTAGTTGTTAGGTATGTAACATGCAACCAAGCATCATTAGGCTGGCCTGGTGGCTACAGTGTCATCTGTGTCACCAGAAGAATAGATAGAAACATGAATGACCAACCATGTTCAAAGGATACTGAGTTGGTGAGTGTCTTTTTTTCGATATACCAGCATGAGATGATGGAACATCAAGAATGGGCTTTATACACTGGAATCAAACTCAAGATTCTCTAACAACGAGGCTACCCAACAGGACCCAGCTTCACAAACCTATTGTAGCACTACGACTGTTGCACGTCCTATACTGTAACATTGACTTACGACAGTCATAGCCCTATGAGGGCGTGGGGTAGCCTAGTGGTTAAAGTGTTTGCTCGTCACGCCGAAGACCCGGGTTCGATTTCCCACATGGGTACAATGTGTGAAGCCCATTTCTGGTGTCCCCCGCCGTGATATTGCTGGAATATTGCTAGAAGCAGCGTAAAACCATACTCACTCACTCACTCATAACCCTATGATAGCTCTATGGGGCCCAGGCCCAGAATTAATATTGGACTCTAAAATAATGTCCAATACTGTGACATTGACTCACTACAGCCCTGATGTCAAGATCATTTTGTGGAATTATTTCACCAAAGGGGACTTGTAAAACCTGCAAGATACAAGCCACCTTTCATCTTTAATTACAGCAAATAGGAGCTCTGATGAATTTAGGGGCTTGGACAAGCTGCCAGCTTTATCTTCCATGGAGCCATTACGTCTTGATACACAACTAATGGCAGAATCTGCGGCCAATTTTCAGGAATGCTTTGCCTCTGTTTTCATTATGTCAGTGTTGATCTCGGAGGCAGGGTTGGTGTGGTGGTCTTGTGTGATACCTTCTTGTATGCTTCTCGCTGAACGGAACTGACAAGTGATGCCTTGCATTTACATCAGCTGTGACGGCTGGTTACCCTTATTAATGAATGTCTTCACTAAGGTGTAAATTGTGTTAGTGAAAGTTATGGATTTTGATGTTTGGTTGTTTCAAACAGGACTAAGTGAGTGTGTGAATTTGGTTTAACAGTGCTTTGAGTAGACTAATGCTTAGTCTCTGAATATATATAATTTTAATAGAAACAAATAAACCCATTTTAGCTGTAAAGAAGCCCCAGTTAGATGAGTAAACCTGAGGAAATCTAGACTTGCTTCATTTAGCGCATTCACCTCACCTCACCTCACCTCACCTCACCTCACCTCACCTCACGCTGTCAGTGTCCCTGATATGACAACAGAGAACTTCAGGGGGTAATGTTGACAGAATGAATTATTAATATGGAATGGAGTTCCAACTCTCCCAAAATGAGAGGCCCTGTGTATTATAATGTTAATAATATCCCTGGCCTCTAATGAAGCATGGCCTTCAGGCGTTTTCTTCCCATTGTCTCCTTCTTTTCCCACTCAGCAATGTAATGCGGCTGAGTTTTCATGCACATCAGAGTTCCTGGTATTGCCAGCATACTTGATGCTGATCCAGCCCCAACTGATGAAGCTGAGGAATCCCCTTGGGGAAGCTCCCACAATAGGTCACGCGAAAAACATCTCTGTGTGAAGCAATCAGTGTAATAGGCAGGGGAAATCTGATGGCACTGCAGAGAGTTCTGGTAATGATCCCACCACTTTATGCCTTTCCCTATTAAAAGCAATACCTCCAACCCTGTTAGGAGTTTCTTGCAATAAACAAGTACAAGCCAGGATTCACACAAAATGCTGACAGTGCATGGTAGAAAATATAGATTGTCGGTTCATAGTGATGTAAGCTGGAAGACAGAGGAATTTGAGCCTTGCTAGAGCGAGAATGGAATGACGATTATTTCTTCCTGTTCCTGTGTTTTTATGGAACTTTGTAAGACAGGCCAAGTTCAGTGTGTGCACACGTGCAGCTGCCAGTAGATCTACTGCCTGGGATGTACTTAACTCCCTCTTAGCCTCTTGCCCTGTATGGAGGGGATTAAGATTGTTTGGGGTTGGCAGGGATTAACCAGCTTGCATGTAACTATGTACCTTGCAGTGCCATTGTTTCACATGGTGCTTGGAGCTAGTTGCTTTACGAGTCTGTTAGGGAAAGGGTGGTCAGGTAACTGTGGACAGTTTATGAAGGAGTTACTCCAGGTAAACTGATTTTCACTATTTGTGGAAGGATTTTTGTCTTCAGGTTTGTGTTGTTTTATTGCTTTTGTTTCTTTGTTCTAGATTTTGGCTGTTATACACTTCAGATAATGTGTTTTTGACTTAATGGTGTAACTGGATATGTGTGTCTATGTTTCAAATATTAATGTTTTCCTTTTGCAACAGAATGTCAAATCTGTCGACTACAGCTATCTGTTTTATTGATCTACTCCTGAAACAAGCAATAAGTCCTACTTTGAAATGAAAATAACCTCAATGTTGACATTGAGTCTTTAATTGTAGTCATGCAATGAAGAGCAACGTTTTGGTGTGACTTTGGGTATAGCGTTCTGCTTAATTTAAGTGAATATGAAGTAAAAAATCTGCAGGTAATATTGATGTAAAACATTTAGATACAGATTATACGTTTTACATTGCTATTTACAAGATTTAATTGAGACTTGTTTAGATAAATGAACTGTAACCTTGTGATGACATATATGAGACACAAAGTCTGTTGGTATTTTTTACACTGATGGTGGATTTGATTGATTTGACTCTGAGAATTTCTAGTGAAGGTGTTTGGCAAATATGTTTTAGCCAGTCAGTATCTCAGTGAGTATGCTAGGTTTTTATCACTGCAATGTTTTCAAAGTTATTTATGTGATCCGAACATAATATAGTGATGAATTCTGTCTGAGGATACCAGAGCTTCTGTTGCGAAGGAGGGACACATCATGTCTATGAAATGCAATGCGCTAGAACCTTTTCTGTACTCAAACATATCTAATTACTGTTACTACATATATCTTAGATTTAAAAAAATATACAATATTTTATTTCTTTTTTTATGGTGTTTATTCTTACGTTAAAAAAACAGACACAAATCCAGTTCTGCGTTAGTCATGGTTTTGTGTGTAGTGCTAACATTTTACATAAATTGCTTTGTTTATCTTTTTAAAGACATCCCTACTGTTTCAGCATGTCATGAAAACATTTAGTGATTATCATCCTTTGAAATGTCAAACAGTGTTGAACATAGTTATTTAACACTGCTCGTTAACTACTTACATTGACCGGGATTATCTGAGCTTCATTAACTCCTGTACAAACATAATGGCTAATTTGTTAGCCTGCTTGTTCCAAAATAACAGATATAGCTTTGTTATTTTTATTTGTTGAAGGTTAATTTTGTCTGGACCTTTTTGCATGAACCAAAAAGCACTGGAAATTGGTTGTTTAATAGAGTAGTCATGATGTTCTGTTTTCGTTTCTTGGTGGTCTGAAAGGATTCTAGTCATGTGTCACTGGTTTTTCTCAACCAATGTGATGAGATTCAGATGGCATAGTTACACAACTTTTCATTCAGTATTGATCAAATTCGGGAAACAATCATCACTGATCATTTTAGATTTTGAAAAGAAGACATGTTGACTTAGGTTAAACAACCATGAAATTAAGAGGTCTTACGAATAATGCAACTTTATATCAATATCTGTGACCTTGTCCACAGTGAGGACTACTGCACCGAAAGGACAGACATTTTTCTTCATTTCGTCCAATCCTCATGAAAGCCAAAGCATGTTTGAGAGAACTATAAATTCTCTGATTGTCACAATTTCCTGTTTTCAAGCATAAACCAATTAGGTTCAAGACAGTATTTATGCCACATTGCCAAGCAAGAACTTTGGCTATCACTGAGTTATCGGATCAAAGGCTCTGGGCCGTTTTGGAACCTTTCACTCAATCATATCGGGCATTGTCTGCCCCAAATGTGGGAAAATTTGATAGGAGGTTGTAATCCTGGGCTGCTGCGTGGTGTGTCTGGTCAATAAAGAAACCCTGCTCATTAAGGAGCTCTGTTTGTCCTTTCTAATCAAGTGCTATTGCTAACCTGCCTGATATGACAAATTGAAGGTTCATGGACAGATACACAAATGACCATCTAGTCTGGGAACAAAAAGATCGGCTTAATTGTTGTCAGACTAAACTACCCACCAGTGTCAATTGACTCTTCCAAATGTGATGTGGGTCAGGCCCAAGTTGACGTTTTGAGGGGATGGGGTCTGAAGGGATTAAATGTGGTTGTTGGTCCTGCTTGGATATTGACAAGCGTGTGTGAATGCTGTTAGAGGATGTTATGGCAAGGTACGTCACTTGTGTTGTCATTATGTTTGCTTCAATGGTTTTCCTTGTTGATTTGTTGAGATGATCCAGAATATGTTACCCTTTTACCCTCTTCTTTGTACATGAAACCATTTCAGAGTTGCCTTCTGCCTGTATCAAAATTACTATTACCATTCTATCGATCTTTGGAACAAAATGCGTTTGTTTAAAAGCTTTTCACAAGATTGTTGTTGTTTCCGATCAGTCGCTCCACTCCACTCCATTCCACTCCACCTCCACTCCTCCCTGCCCCATCCGCCACCTCTCCCCTCCCTCCCTCCCTCCTCCCCCCCTCCTCCACCCACTCCCTCCACTCCCCTCCACTCCCTCCACTCTCCACTCTACTCTACTCTACTCTACTCCGCTCCACTCCACTCCGGATAGTCAAGAATTCATTGAACTTGCTCCTTTGACACAACTAAAGTGAAGTAGAAACAAAAGGCTGACATTCCAGGGAAGAATATGACCAGATGAGTACATCATGATTGCTGCATCAGGCCTTGATCAGTTTCTGCCTCCTTGTGGCCATGCATGCGTGAATAATGCTTTGTTTAATTGTATTTCGTTTCATGAGTTAAGTACACCATTATGGTGGATATGAGATCCCTCTCCCAACTGATGCAGAATCTGCAGCTAGACCCACATTCATGCTGATAGTTTTTCGCTTTAAATATCATTACTTCAAAATGGACACAGCGGTTAGATGAAAGTAGGGCTCTTCCTGTATTATCCTACAATTTACCATCAGGAGCGCTTTTTAAATATCAGAGACTTGTGAAGAGAGTGAGTGGGGCTTGAAAATTATAGGCGTGACTGAGACAGTCAGGTTTATCTGTGTGTGTGTGTGTGTGGGTGGGGGTGGGTGGGGGTTTTCCAATGTCCAGTACCTCCTATCTCACTGACCATGATCAAACACAATAACCACTCACTCACAGAACAGGTACAGATTTGTAGAAGATCCTTTGATTATTTCGACATATTCAATACCGGTACTTTTCTACGCCGAGGCGATTCAAGGTTGCTCAGAAATTTGCAAGAAGTGCGGATCGTAATGTGCATGCGCAGTAGAGGTCAAAGTGTGCTGATACAAAAATGTTGCAGTTTCATAGTCTTTTGTTGCTGTTGTTACTGTTTCAGTAGCGAGGTAATATGTTTATGTTGCTATTTCCACGATTAATGTGGGCTTTTCTGAGTTTTTCTGCACAGTGGGAAAGTTTTCTTTGGTAGGCCTGTGGTTGAAGGAGACAATCCTCCCATCCTTGCAACACATCCCCTTCAATTTCTTTGGTAGGCCTGAACCATGTCACTCACACTGTGTAGTCTTTATAAGCAGTGTCAACACACATCTCCCATTTCCATGGATTCCATCGATTGTTCAAATGAGAAGGAGAATTGTTGCTTTCTGTCAGCTGTGTGCTGTCTCACTCAACATATTTAAAAGTAAGCTCATGGCTGAAAATTAGATTTCTTTTCTTCTTGTTTGAAGAGAAGGCTGCAAAGTTTGTTTTTTTTGAAATGATTAAGAGGGCTCAGAGAATTGCGAAAGGATTTGTGTGGATACGAAGTTGAAACCTCCCAGTTTTCTACCTCGAGTGGTGTAGCAAGTTGTCATGATGGTTAACATGCAGCTATGCGTCAGTCAGCCACTGACTGTAAAGAGGGATGTAAGAAGAACTCAGGACTGAAATTGTGCTCCATAATGAAAATAGTTTCAGAAAACGTATTACCTGGTATCTCATTTGTTTACATATCACAGAAGAGACCAATAGGCGTAAAACTAAACTCACCCACTCACTCACTTCCATTGTGGCTGCAGTTCAGTCGATTGCATGAAATATTGCTGAGGGAAGGAACTCTAGTTTTGGTATTACATGCTGGGATTAATCTTGAAAATAATGTGAATTTGCCTTGTCAGCCAGTTGTGCATATGTAGCCAGTCCATTTGAAATTTCATGGTTCCAGTGATTTTCATCATCTTATTTACTATTACCATCAATGGTAATATGCTTTGACCATTCATAGCAGACAAAGTATTTCAGTATTTGCAGCAAAACTGTCCAAATAATTCTTCCAGATTCTTCCTATATAAGCAGCCTGTCACCAAGTTTGAAGTTTGAAGCCCCAGAATTGATTGCACCATCTGCAATCCTTATTGACCTTTTGAATTCACCATATCATATTTCAGTAAGCATATGGTGCAAGTTCATTCAACCAAAGTGGCCCTTATGTATAGATCTAAGATTATAATGGTGATATTACCTGACAGAACACACATGGTAAACTATCATTGGTTAGTTTCGACATGCATTTTACAGGGATGAACATTTTCCACTGATCCGCAGAAATCCCGGATTTGATCGCGCTAGGGTCATTCTTGTGATTCTTCTAAACCTGACCCCATGACCCCTGGTTCATTTTCCTCTTTTTTCACTCATACCATGCTCATTAGGGGTGGGTATTGCAGAGAATTTTCATATTGCAATATATTGCGATGCAAAAGTATATATTGCGATATGTATTGCAATATATTGTAGGTTTTTTTAAAACAAATAACTACTTATAATCGAGTTAATGCTTGATTTATAAAGCAAAAACACAACAAAATCACTATGCTTAATTAAGTTTTAATAAAAACTTTTAATCATGACAAACTCAAAATGTAAATAATATTTTTGGCACAAATGAAATTAGGAAAGGAACAACTTAAAAAGTGGAAATCTCCGAAGATATACGAGTGTTACAAAGTTTTCCAAATGCATGTCAAAATACCGGTTATCGTATTACAATACGTATCGTTTTCATGTCTGAACTGGTAAATACTGGTAAACCAGTTATATTGCGCAGCCCAAATTCTCATAACTGATTATATAAATAGCCAATATTATAATGGGTTGGATCATGCCATTAAAAATTCAAACTGACATGCAGTATGTCATCATTTACACAGCAATCAATTTTCAACCAGCAGATTCGCTTGAGTAAACACTGATGTGGCCACGGGTATGTGTGGGATAGATGTCAACTTGACACTACAGCAGATGCTGCTGTCACCATTTGTTTGTTTTCTGATATTAAGTTTAAATCCAATAATAACCTCATCATTTTGTATGGTTTTACCCTGAATTAAAGGGGTGACGCAAACACAAGATATCCGGTGTAGAAGTGATCAATGTGTATATTTGTATGTGTGGCATGTGACTCATGTTGGTTTGTTTGCGACCAGTTCCTCGTTCATTGATTCCTGTAGATATCAGACTATTGACATATATATTTGTGTTTGCAGATATCAAGGTGTGTAAAGCAGCTGAGGTTGATGGAAGGGCAAAGGCCTTGTAACCACCGGAGATACAGCTTCACCTACAGCATTACCTGCCCACTGGATTAATCGTGTCGTGGATTATACCTTGCCGGACATCTCCATCACCTCACAGGTAACTATCAGGGTGAATAGAGCCTCAAGATCACACGTGTGTCCCCAGGGAATTCCAAGGGCCGGTGGGCTAGCCTAGTGGTTAAAGCGTTCGTTTGTCACGCTGAAGGCCCGGGTTCGATTCCTCACATGAGTACAATGTGTGAAGCCCATTTCTGGTGTCCCCTGCCGTGATATTGGTGAAATATTGCTAAAAGCATCATAAAACTAAAATCATTCACTCACTGGGAATTCCAGGGCACGATACTGTGACCTTCTGTCCATATAGGGACTTGGGGCAGACTGGTCCCTGAGTATGTCATATTGTCTCCTGACAGGGATTCCAGAGGGGCAGAAGAAAACCCCTGTACTTCATACTTGTCTTCTGTTCAGGATTACGGGATGAGGGATGGAGTACCTCATACTTGGATCCCCATAGGTGTCCATGGACAGAATAGGCCCTGAGTATGTGATGCTTGTCTCCTCATAGGGAATTCTTGGCAGAAGAGGCTCCCAGTATTGATATATGTATACATATTATCACATGTCATTGTATCCCAATTCCATAGATCGATGCTCATGCAGTAAAACTAAACTCACTCAGTCACATATTATCACATACCAGGATGGGTTTGAATGGCTGAAAAATCTCATTAATGATCCTTGGTCTGTCAACACCAGGCCAATGCTCACAGATTCCACTAAGTGTTGGTGTGTACAACTTGCATGTGACTTTCCTGCTACAGCATGATGAGACTGAAAGATCAACACCCACATTTACTTATAGTCATCATCTATATCAGGGGCGGTGGGGTAGCCTGGTGGTTAAGGCGTTGGCTCGTCATGCTGAAGACCTGGGTTTGAATCCCCACATGGGTACATTGTGTGAAGCCCATTTCTGGTGTCCCCCGCCATGATGTTGCTTGAATATTGCTAAAAGGCGCAAAACCAAACTCACTCACTCACTTGGGGTAGCCTAGTGGTTAAAGCGTTAGTTTGTCACGCTGAAGGCCCGGGTTCGATTCCTCACATGAGTACAATGTGTGAAGCCCATTTCTGGTGTCCCCTGCCGTGATATTGGTGAAATATTGCTAAAAGCATCATAAAACTAAAATCATTCGCTCACTGGGAATTCCAGGGCACGATACTTTGACCTGCCCATATAGGGACTTGGGGCAGACTGGTCCCTGAGTATGCCATAGTGTCTCCTGACAGGGATTCCAGAGGGGCAGAAGAAAACCCCTGTACTTCATACTTGTCTTCTGTTCAGGATTACGGGATGAGGGATGGAGTACCTCATACTTGGTTCCCCATAGGTGTCCATGGACAGAATAGGCCCTGAGTATGTGATGCTTGTCTCCTCATAGGGAATTCTTGGCAGAAGAGGCTCCCAGTATTGATACATGTATACATATTATCACATATCATTGTATCCCAATTCCATAGATCGATGCTCATGCAGTAAAACTAAACTCACTCAGTCACATATTATCACATACCAGGATGGGTTTGAATGGCTGAAAAAATCTCATTAATGATCCTTGGTCTGTCAACACCAGGCCAATGCTCACAGATTCCACTAAGTGTTGGTGTGTACAACTTGCATGTGACTTTCCTGCTACAGCATGATGAGACTGAAAGATCAACACCCACATTTACTTATAGTCATCATCTATATCAGGGGCGGTGGGGTAGCCTGGTGGTTAAGGCGTTGGCTCGTCATGCTGAAGACCTGGGTTCGAATCCCCACATGGGTACATTGTGTGAAGCCCATTTCTGGTGTCCCCCGCCATGATGTTGCTTGAATATTGCTAAAAGGCGCAAAACCAAACTCACTCACTCACTCATCATCTATATCACCTCTGTAGAGAAAGTCTGCAACTAAAATTATCCTTGAAAACAAAGTACCCATCTAAACAAGACACTGCCAACATTAATTTACAGAATATTTTATTATTTTAAATTTAACATTAGAATTCATCACTAATTTTAGTGATGTTTTCCTGCCTGTTCAAAGGCTTCAACTCTGCAGGACAGCATTAATTCAAACAGGCCACTGACCACAGCTGAGCAGTCAGTTCCAGTTATGTGACTCGGGAAAGTTCTAAGTCTTCAGATCACAGAAGGTCACGTTCCATAGTTGCTTATGTTGAAGAATACACCACAAGACATATCTAGTGGAGGCTTTGTGCTTTAAAGAATTCCCACGTGCAGACAATGAAGTTAACTTTTTGAATATTCATCAGCGGGCAAAGAAGGCCAGACTAGCTTTCAAATCATATTATTGTCTTTCGGAAGATTTGTGGCGATAGTTGTGCCATCTGGTGGCATCGAATTCCCTCGTCCTCCTCTGCTCACAGTTGCTGTGGCAAGCGGGAGTGGTATTGATCTACTAAATTGATTTACAGATTCTCTTGTTTCTATTAGGTAGTAAAATGTTTATCATCACTGGACTTGTCCATTAATCTGTCAGGTGAAAAGCCTTTTTCAGTAAAAAGGAGCAAAAGTGTCTGTTCTCTTACATAAAAAGGAATAGCCATATGTTGATGCTTGAGGCAATAGAGGATTATCCAAATGGCATTGGTTTGTAGGCTGAACCATTACATGAAGGATCTGCAGCTGTGGAGACAGTATGCAGAATGTCATGGTCACATTTTATTTCTGTTTCCTGGTGAATGTATTTTCAACGTTGAGGTGTCAAAGTTGGTGTCTTGTCATACCCCAAGGATATGGAGGATCTTATCTCTGCAAACGCATTGGAAAGAAGGCTTCCAATGGTCCCTTGCACCCCATAGCTGGTTGTAACAGGTTGGCAAAATGGAAGGGATCAAGTCAGACTCAGTAACTGTGTGTTGTGCCCTGTCCATTGTGATGATCATACTTCAGTCACTTGCTTCACAACTGCTGCTGTGATGTAGCTGGACCGGAGCTGGACCGGAGCTGGACCTGGACCGGAGCTGGACCACCTCTCTCTCTCCCATTATACAACAACTTGATCAGGAGGTTCTTGGCAGCTGTTCAGTGGCACAGTTCACTTTGCCAGAACACCTTGATACACTCAAGACCTGACACAGTAATGTGAAATCTTTAGCCTACATGATCTCTCTAACTTGAGAACACAGGTGGCTTTTTGTTGAAGAGCCTTCATGTTGATGAGCACAGTTTGCTTCTTATAGCTTTGCCAGGATCCAATGATTACGTGTCAAGCCACAGATAGTCTCATGTTTTTAACCCAATAGTCTGTGAGCACTGGACAAAGGATTGAACAACCTGTGCAGTTCTGATGTAACTGAAGCAAGCAGCAGTAAACCCAGATCATTCACTCACACTCTCTCATTCGCTCTCCCAGTTCACATGCTCACTCACTCACTCACTCACTCATTGATGCTTTGCAGTGTCAGCAGCAAGGATCTGCTGGCATTTAATCAGGATCACTAGAAGGTCTAGTTGCATTCAGCAGCAATTAGGCAGCATTCAATACATTCCCAGATTCCATTTGCTTGGTAGTCTCTGAAGGCTTAGGGTTTAAATGTTATATAAAAAGAGTCCTTGATGCTTTCTCGGGATTACGGAGTGTCCCAGTGTTTTATGTGCAGTTGATGTGTGCAGTAAACCTGGGCACTGTGGGTTTTATGACTTCGCTTGTGGGACTTCCATTTCTCAGCAAGCCATACTTTACCAAGTAATGGGGCTTATACCTCTTTAGGAGAATCCTGCCTCAAATATCAGCTGCTGAAAAAATAGAGGGATTCAGTTCTAAACCGATCATTTAGGTTTGAAATTATTAAGTTGAATGGCCATTTTGTGTGCATAATGAATGGTCTTTGTTAGTTGATAAGCTATTGTGTGTGACCCATGCTCAGTTTGAGATTTTTCTTCCCTGGACAATTTCTTAGATTCAGGAGACATTAGAAAGTTGTGGGCAATGTCAGCCAAAACTTCTAAGCTTTCCTCCCCAAGATATTTTTGTTTTTCTAAGGTTCCACCATAATTGGTTATGACAAGGACCCCTTGCTTTTCATCTGAGTCCTAGGAGTTTCCAATTCACAAGAATCCACAGTTAAAAATGTTGGACATGGTACACTACAGTAATGGCTGGGTGAATAATGTTTGATGGCTACACAGCTTTACTAGATGATGGTAATCTGTTATTGATAGTAATGTAGACCTGGAAAACCAGTGACTGAGAGAATGAACACCAACATTTTCATGGCAGTGTAACTGGTGTCTGCCCAGTAACCAGTCCAGTAGATATTTCCATCACTGGTACCAAGGTTCTGTGATCTGTATGATAGGGAAATACACCATACAGAGGCTGTTGGATCTATTCCAAACATACAGTTTTAATGGATAATGAATCAATACATGACCAGCATGTTACACCCTGTGTGTTTTCATGTGAGCATACATTTCTATCAGTATGATGTGCTATTATGGCTTTCAAGGTTCTCATTTTAGAATGGCAATGAAAATAACATTATCCATAGTGTTCAATGCAGGAAGAACATTAGCAGAGTGAGCCACAGCCTCAAGTGTCATAACTTTCTGGAAGGGTTTTCTCCTGGAATCTTAGTGTCAGCCATGACTTGGTCCGTGGTCTGGCTTGATATAACACACATTTACAGATAGTGATCTGGAAACTAGTGTCCAGGGATATACATTTACATGACAAGTGAAAGGTTTGACACTCGTCTGAGTAAATGCCAAGTGAATGCTAGTGCTATGACAGACCCCCATTACTGGCCTCCCAATATAAGGAGATCACATGCAAATGTGTCCCTACCATACTAATTGTTATCAGGGTCCTGACTTTGCTTAATCATGTGGATATTTCTTCAACAGTTGAAAAATATTTAAACTGGCCTTGAATATTGCCAAAGAATGAGGGCTGAAATATTTATGTCCACTGGATTTGACATTCACAAAAACCTGACACTTTCCATTGTATGTGATATTATTAAGCTATGTTTAGTACCATTCGCCCATTGTATGAAGCATGACTTTGTCACTAACTGGCATTGCTGAAAGAGTACTTACATTCAAGCAATATTTATACTGCAAATTTCAAATGATACAAAAACAAATGAATATAGACCACAGTTGCCATGAGTAATTACTATTTGATCCAGTCTATTTGTGGAGGTATATTTGAAGAAGAGCATCACCCACTCTCTCTCTGGCTAAGAGCTCATTACTGTTAAAACTGTCTTCATGCAAACAATGTCCAATTGATGTGTGCAAAAAAGATGCTCCTGTGTAAATTCCAATATTGTGATGTGTTTCGGAGACAAATTTCCTGCATCATTTCCGATAACAGAGCCAATGCAGGAAAAATGTGGTAACCATGGTTACATGATGCAAATGTTCTGATTGGCTGGCATTCATGAAATGGTAATTCTATCTTTTCCAAGATTGGGGTTCAAGGAGGCAAAGTGCCATTGATTGTAAGCTGGATTGTTTTCTGTGACAACAGAAAGCTCTCAGAGTTTCTAATTTTCCTTGTTTTCCGTTTTTGATGGATTTTTTTCTCATTAAAGACTCAATGATTGAGCTTTTCAAAGTTTATTTCTACAGATTTGTGATTATGCTTGGCCTACTTTAGATTGTGGATTCATGACCCAGTTTTTCCTTCATTCATAATTAAATGAATGACCGCTGCAGTTGGCAGGTTGAACAGGGACTGGCTGATTTGGAGCCTCAGATTGTTTGGTGTCAGATTTCAAAACTTGAAACACAATATTTATTTTTTTGGCCTTATGTATTACATTGGCATCAGAGAAAGAACCTAACAAATAGTTTTACAACATGTCATTGAATTGTGAAAAATTGTTGTGATTTGTCAGTGAGGGTATGTGCTCAGGCAGTACGCAGTTCATCTCAGTACTGATAGAATATTGCCTAATTCTGGCTCCTGACATTAATTCAAACAGTTTTATACTATGATGTTTACATTAATCAGTTCAGAATGTGTAGATTTACATATTCAGCTTATTAAACTCTTTATGTAAGATTGTTCAATGCTGAGTGAAGGGGACACACTGAGACTGACAGGTATTGAGGAGACCTCCATTAAATTGTAACAATTTGAATCAAAGACGGCTAATGCTTCAAGCAGACTCTCACAGATCATCACAAGCAGGAACCCATGGATGCAACTACCCCAGACACATTTACTGATCCAGATTGTTGTAACCTATCAGGACATCTATAAAACCTGAATTCTGATAGCCCAAAGCATAAATTAAACATTTGAAGGTGACTCACTCTTAGATAGTCCAAATTCCTGCATCTAATGTTATTCAGATGCACAATTCAACGATACCAGGAATATGTAATTCAGTGCTGTAAATCAATAGTCCACAGTTTTTGACCTTCAACTGTTAACAAGTTGCTTTATGATGTTTTCCTCAAATATCTGAACTTTTGCCTGGAGAAGAAAGGTTTGTTAGGATTGGATTGGTGACTCCATGCCTGCCAACTGCCTTTAACACGGTTGCTGGTATTACCGTTCTGATCACAATCAATAATTTACAGCTTTCAATTGGTTGGTAAATGAAACAAAAGCAGATGTAGCACGGAGGTGGATTGAATAAGGTTTGAGAGTTTTCCAGCTCATCTAGTGGATAGTGTTCAACAGGCACGGCATGGCCTGTGTTCAGGTACATCCAGTGTTCAGCAGGCACATCCTGCATTCAACAGGCACATCCTGCATTCAACAGGTATATCCAGTGTTTAGCAGGTATATCCAGTGTTCAACAGGCTAAGCAGAAAGATGCTGTTTCCAAGAGATGGAGACATATGGCCTCAACTGTCTTTATCTCTTGAATCCCATGTGGTTTCATGAGTTTCAACCAATAATGGTCCTGTGTTTATGGAACCAGGCCAGTGAAGCTGTTCATCAGGACAAGTCACCAGACATACTGCAGTTGTTTTAATGAATGAGCCATGTGAGTTACTTTTATCCCACGATTATTTTGCTATATCTTTCTTCGGGTTTAGGATAAATGTGGACGAGGCCGAAGGGTGTATATGGTCCCTTCACTTCAGGTCCAGAATCACTGTGTAGAGTTGTCCCTTCACTTCAGGTCCAGAATCACTGTGTAGAATTGTCCCTTCACTTCAGGTCCAGAATCACTGTGTAGAGTTGTCCCTTCACTTCAGGTCCAGAATCACTGTGCAGAGTTGTGTCCCTTCACTTCAGGTCCAGAATCACTGTGCAGAGTTGTGTCCCTTCACTTCAGGCCCAGAATCACTGTGCAGAGTTGTGTCCCTTCACTTCAGGTCCAGAATCACTGTGCAGAGTTGTGTCCCTTCACTTCAGGTCCAGAATCACTGTGCAGAGTTGTGTCCCTTCACTTCAGGCCCAGAATCACTGTGCAGAGTTGTGTCCCTTCACCTCAGAATCACTGTGCAGTTGTGTCCCTTCACCTCCCTTCACTTCAGGCCCCCAGAATCACTGTGCAGTTGTGTCCCTTCACTTCAGGCCCAGAATCACTGTGCAGAGTTGTGTCCCTTCACTTCAGGCCCAGAATCACTGTGCAGAGTTGTGTCCCTTCACCTCAGAATCACTGTGCAGAGTTGTGTCCCTTCACCTCAGAATCACTGTGCAGAGTTGTGTCCCTTCACTGAATCACTGTGCAGAGTTGTGTCCCTTCACTTCAGGCCCAGAATCACTGTGCAGAGTTGTGTCCCTTCACTTCAGGCCCAGAATCACTGTGCAGAGTAATGTCCCTTCACTTCAGGTCCAAACTGAACTGGGTGTAAACTCTATCATGCATACTTATGTTGCATAACTGGTTTCACAACAGACATCAACAAATAACCTACATCAAACATCTGACTATACCATCATTTGACATATGTTAAGGGTTGTGCTAACACCAACATCACTCATCTAGCTCCAGACTGAGGACTCTACAGAAGTCTGAAAGGCAGTAATTGACAAGATGTTTTTTCTTCTCATCTTTCATACGACATTTCAAGTGTAAAAGGTATGACAGTCGTCACCCATCTTTTCATCAGTATTCCAAAGAAACATACCACTGCAAGACCAGACTCATTTACAAACTGTTATTGAAACAATTTCAGCTGCCTGGGCCTAATTGATTCACAAACAACTTACAATTTTCTTGCCCAGTTCTGTAAATATTTTGAAGTGAAGCTGGTTCTTTCATGTGGCTCACTGTCCGCCAGCTTATCCTGCAAGTAGATCTGACTTAGGCTGGTTCCACTACTGTAATCACAAAGGATGGTGAAGTCTTTGATGTCAGTGTTGATGTCCCCAGTTGGTCATCATTAGGTGACAGTGGAAGCTGCCTAGCGGCAGTAGAGTACATTGGCTTGTAATTGCCCCCTCAGCTATCAGCTAGATATCATTCTCTGTTCAGACTTTTAACATTGACATTAATTTGGAAGCTGGCATGTATCAATGTGAATTTGAAATTTGACCTATCTTGAAACTTGTTAAACAATATAAGACTCTCACAAAATGCTTTGAATACCCTGTTAAAACAAAATTTACTGAAGTAAACTGACAAGAATTATCTTGTCAGTGTATTTTTTTATCCCTTGCGCATTTACTTTGTATGGAGTTACATTTGCAATGTACAATGTCACCTAATTTATCTGGACAATATCATTTCCAGGGACATTATCCAGATTTACAGGTTTCCTATTTAAGGGATCTGGGGTATTGTTTCATGGCAGCTACCATTACATGCAGCCTCAGGGGTGGAAATAACCCATTGCCCGACGTCCGAGTCCAGTGTTTTCTTCTGTTGGGCAAGCAAATTTGTATATCACACTGTACCTGTGTCCAGTTGACTTTCCAATGTTAATTATGTTGTTTATTTAAAAATTCAGCAAGAAAACGGTCGATATTGTGGAAAAAATATCAGGGCAAGTGACTTTACATGTGCCACTTTCCCGGGTACACTATCAATTTTAAGATTTCCACCCCTGGTTAGATTCCGTCACGCTGAGGACCGGGTTACCCCATAGGTACAATGTGTGAAGCCCATTTCTGGTGTCCCCCACCATGATATTGCTGGAATATTGCTAAAAGCAGCATAAACTTCACTCACTCACTCCATGCAGATAATTTGAAAAGTATTCATCTGGAAGGCAGGATGTGTGGATTAAAAGATTTTCACTTTTTATGTAAAATGTTGAATACTGAAGCAAAATATTTCTACAAGCCAAACCAAACTTAAAATAGGAGTTGGTTCATGATCTTATATTAATAGTTAATGAACATGGCCCCAGAGGGTTCTCCATTGTGAATACCTGATGCAACATGCGTTTGAGGCATGTGAAGATGGTGGTATCAGGTACAGACGTACTCATGGAATGCTATCTTGTACTGACACTCAGCATTGCTGGATGGTAGATATTTATGTTCCATTATCTGAATGAGACATCAGTCTTAAAATACATCTGTCTGGAATATAACCTCAGCTTAACAGAGCCATTCATTTCAGCTGAAAATTGTTTTCACTGTTTAAGGTCATGTCAATGTATACAATTTGAGAGGTGCTTTATCTATCTACTTACCATTGTCCTGAATGAATGTATATGAAATGTGTATGAATCATGCTTCTGCAGATCCTTCATAGCCCAGTGTATGTACCCTATCCACTAATTTATCATCTTTGGAGGTTTGGATCAGTCAAACAATACAAAATGATTTCTAGGGATATTTCTCTATATCCAGCCTGTGTGTATGGAGATATTTATTATCCCCCGCCGCGCGTTTAGCGCGAAGCGGGGGATATAGTATTAGGCTCCGTCATTTCAAGGTCACAAGGGGACTTTCACGTTTTACCTGCATGTTAAGCTATCTCAAGAACCGTTCACTGGATTTTCTTCATATTCAATACAAAGCTTTATCTAGGGAAGGCACAGGGCCCAGTCGATTTTGGTGACCTTCACTTAATTTTCAAGGTCACAGAGACACTTTGAAGATTCCAGCATATTAACCTGCAGGTTATGCTTGTCAGCGAGATACCTAAAGAACCATTCACTGGACTTTCTTCATATTTGACACCAAGCTTCATCTAGGGAAGGCGCTGGGCCCAGTCGATTTTGGTGACCTTCACTTAATTTTCAAGGTCACAGCGACACTTTGAAGATTTCAGCATGTTAACCTGAATTGTCAGCAAGATATTTCAAGAACGGTTCACTGGATTTTCATCAGACTTTCAAGACTTCCCTTAAATGTTTTTCAATAAGCAATTTCTTTAGTACTATTTTTGCATATTTCATACACTATGACATTTATGTCAAGGTCAAAGTCAGTCTTGAAAATATGTGTGTGTTTGAACACCTAAAGAGCAAGATATCAAGAGAGGTTGACTGGTCATGTTTTTGTTGACATTTAACTTAAACTTTCATTACTTTATAAGTTTGATTTGATAATTTGCGGCGGGGGATTATGTCACCTTAGTGACAATGCTTGTTGTATGACATACTTGCCATGTTATCTCTTTGTGTCACATGACTTCCCTGTCACCTCTATATCCAGCATGTGTGTGTATGGAGATATATATTTATGGGCACTAGTGTTGGGATTGGTTTAAGTCTTATAATTGATGATTGGTTCATTACAACCGATCAGTCATCGAAAATAGTTGGTTAGCGTTATTTATCAAATTGTCTTGGTTATATTTGTTAATGCACACAAAATAAAAGAAAAAACATGTAGTTCTTTCGGTTGTTTTGGCAAATTTCATGGCTTTAAAGGATAACT